TCGGCCCCTCCCCCCTCAAACTCCTGACCTGATTCCTCCCCTCAACCCTCTGTACTGCCCCTTCGCCTTAAATCCCTGACCCCTCCTGTCCCTTTAACAACTAACCTGCCCCTTCCCCTTAACCCCTCTCCCACCCCCTCCCCTTAAGCCTTTCACCTGACCCTTCCCCTTAAACTTCCGACCTGCCGCATCCCCTTAAATCCCTGACCTGTCCCCCTCCCCTTAAACCCCGATCTGCCCCCTCTCCTGAAGCCCCTCCCTGACTCGCCCTCTCCCTTTAAACCCCTCACCTGACCCCTTCCCCTTCAACCCCCACCTATTCCTCAGAACTAGACCAACACACCAAACCCACACCTGTACCCCAAACAAAACATATACCCTAGCCCAAACCTCCCACAACCCATCACTGGACCCTAACCCACACCTGCCCACCAGGCAAATCTCCCCTGCTCCTAGACGTGCACACCAAGCCCACACCTGTACCCTAACCCAGGCCGACTGTCACCCATGCCTGTACCTAACCCATACCTGCCCAGATGGAAAACTATACCCTCACAAAACCTGACCCTAAAGTCAGACTTCACACACATGTGCATCAATACCCATACTCTTTACCCTCAACTTCACCTGACCCCAACCAAGAATGTACGCTAACGCTTACCTCTGCCTGCAGCACACACCTGTACCCCCCAAAACACCACTATGCGAGACCTTGTGCCACACCTATACCTGTTCCCTTAACCCACACCTGTACCATAACCAACACATGCACCCTCACAAGTTGTGTGCCCTAAGCCATACCTGGACTCCAACTCACTTCTGTACCCAAACCAACACCTGTGCCCTTCCAAGCTCTGCATTTCAAAACACAATGTTATACACGAATTGCTAGAAATCAGATAACCAGCCCAATTAAAGGCCAAATTAATAAGTATGCCCTTTATTAAAGCTGGTGGTCAAGAGGGGGCTCATGCCTCCCAGACTCTTGACGACAAATGAAATTTGCGGGGAGTCTTTATAGACAAAAAAGTAGTTGGGAAACTGAGTCATTACAGAGATAAACATATGAAACACATGTTCTGGGGTTTGACACATAGTACATTTAGATAAGAGGGCACACAGTATACTTGGATAAGGGGGCACATAGTATACTCAGATAAGGAGGAAACTGTTAGAGCACTGGGTAGGGTGCAGGGCTGGGAGGGTTGTTTATGAGCAAAATTTAAAAATTCTTGCATCAGCCACACAGAAGCTCAATAACAAGTTAACAACATGGAGACAAGTCACAAAATGGAGTTTTACATTTCAGATACAAACTTAGGTTTTAACCAATATGCTGCAAACACTTTAAAAATTTCATAAAATACAGCAAAAACACTTTGAATACTTCAACACCAGTACCCCTAACTCAGTCCTGTATGCTAACCATCACTTAACACTTTGAAGCCCAGAGCTGCAACCCATATGGGCACCCTAACCAACTACTGTACCCTAACTATGTGCAACCTTCCAAGAAACTCACCCAAACACAAACCTGTACCCCAAGACAACTCTTGTACCATAACCAACACCTGCACACTTCCAAGTCTAGTACTGTTTCATAAACCTGTACCCCTCTCATACACCTGTACCCTAATAAACACTTGCACCCTTCAAAGTCCTGTACTACATTAATACTGAACCGCTAATCCAACCTGTACCTGAGCCAACACCTGAATCGATGGATGCCCTGTACGGTATCATATAGCTATACTCCCAACCCACTGCTACACCCTAAATCCTGCACCCTTCCAGGCCCTGTACTCTATCATATAGCTGTACCCCAACCCACAGGTAAACCCTAATCAACAGCTGCACCCTTCCTCCCCTTTACCCTATCATATACCTCTTCCGCCAACCCATTTCTGTACCGTAACTCACACCTGCACACATCCAAGCACTGAACCCTCTCATATACATGTACGCCAAAACAGCACCTGTAACCCAAACCAACACCTGTTCCCGATCCAACACCTGCATCCTTCCAAGCCCTGTACCCTTTCATGTGCTTGTACCCCAAAGCAACTCCTGATCTCGTTCCCACACCTGAACCCTTGCAAGCCCTGTGGACTTTCTATACTGGTACCAAAAACCAACTCCTGTTCTTGTTCCCAATTACTGCAACCTTCCAATCCCTGTACCCGTTCATATACCTGTAACCCAAACCAACTCTTGATCCCATTCCAGCACCTGAACCCTTTCAAGCCCTAATCCCTTTCATATACCTGTACCTCAAACCCAATCCTGAAGCTTTACCAACACCTGAACCCTTCCAACCCTGCACCCTCTCATATACCTGTACGACAAACCCAGTTCTGAACCCTTACCAAAACGTGAACACTTCCAGGCTCTGTACCCATTCATATACCTGTACCCCAACCCAACTCCTCTTTCAAGCCCTGTACCCTTTCATATACCGGTACCCCAAACAAACTCCTGATCCCAATTGAGCAGCTGCACCCTTCCAATTCCTGTACTCGTTCATATACCTGTACCCCAAACCCAGTCCTGAACCCTTACCAACACCTGAACCCTTCTAAGCCCTGTACCCTTTCATATACCTGTACCCCAAACCCAGTCCGGAAACCTTGCCAACACCAGAACCATTCTAAGCCCCTAGCCATTCATATATCTCTACCCCAAACCAACTTCTGATCCTTTCCAGCTCCTGCACCCTTCCAATCCCTGTAGCCATTCTTATACCCGTACCCTAAACCCAGTCCTGAACCCTTACCAACACCAGAACCCTTCCAAGCCCTGTACCCTTTCATATGCCTGTACCTGAAAACCAGTCCTGAAACCTTACCAGCACCTGAACCCTTCCAAGCCCCTATCCGTTCATATACCGGTACCCTAAACCAACTCCTGATCCCTATCCAGCAGCTACACCGTCCAAGCCCTGTACCCATTCATATACCTGTCCCCAAAACCCAGTCCTGAACCGTTACCAACACCTGAATCCGTCCAAGCCCCTATGCATTCATATACCTGTACCCCAAATCAACTCCTGATCCCAATCCAGCACTTGCACCCTTCCAATCCCTGTACCCGTTCATATACCTGTACTCCAATCCCAGTCCCAAAGCCTTACCAACACCTGAACCAATCCAAGCCCCTACCTATTCATATACCTATAACCCAAACCAACTCCTGTTCCCATTCCAATCCTGCAACCTTCCAAGCCCTGAACCCTTTCATATTCCTGTACCCCAAACCAACTCCTGATCCCTTCCAGCACCTACACCCTTCCAAGCCCTGTAGCCTTTCATATGCCTGTACCCCAAACCCAGTCCTGAAACCTTACCAACACCTGAACCCTTCCAAGCCCCTACCTGTTCATATAACCAACTCCTGTTCTCGTTCCAAATCCTGCAAACTTTTAAGCCCTGTTCCCTTTCATATACCTGTCCCCTAAACCCATTCCTGAACCTTTACCAACACGTGAACCCTTCCAAGTCCTTTTCCCTTTCATATCCCTGTACCCCAAACCATCTCCTGATCCCTTCCAGCACCTGCACCCTTCCAAGCCCTGTACCCTCTCATATACCTTTACCCAAAACCCAGTCCTGAACCCTTTCCAACACATGAACCCTTCCAATACCCTACTCATCCATATACCTGTATCCAAACCCAACTCCTATTCCCAATTCAAATCCTGCAAACTTCC